GAGAGAATGGAGCCTTCTGACAAAGCACAGCTCCCTGGAGGCTTGGGGAAGTGATTGGTTTTGCATATGAGGACCACAGCGTGGAGATCCAGCCCACTGCAGCTAGCGAATTCCCCAAATTCCTCTTTTCTCTCAAGAATTCTCTGATTAGCTGGGAAGATAGTTTGGCGGAAAGAAAGGTCACTTTGCCTGCGGAAGCCTGTTTCGTATACAATGTCCTAGAAAGGCTACTTTTTGTTTTCAGTGCTGCTGAGAACAGCTTAGGCTGCTGCAGCCAGTGTCCCGGCAGGGACAGGAGCAGGGAGGTTTGCTCTAACGCTGAATGTTAACAGCAAAACGTCCAAGTATTGCATTGGACGGGTCTTCTGTAAAAGACTATTTTTAGAAACCACATATTTATGTGCCTTTAATCCACTAGTTGATCCAAGTTAGCTTCTGTCATCAGCATTACACAGATGGCAGCTACCATATGTTACTTTCCATTTCCATTGCACATCAGCTTAAAATGAAGACAATCTCTCCTGCGTGCAGCACAGAAGGCAGTGCTTGCAGCCCCATGGCTTTCAGTGGAGACAAAATGAAGATCCAGGCTATTTAGGTATTTGGCTATGCAGTGAGCTCCCTGATTACTTTGTTAATTAAAAAAGGATGCCCAAGCATAATTAAAAAAGGATGCCCAAGCATCAGCAGAAACTCCTCAGCACCCTTCCTTCTGCCCATAGATGAGTACACCCAGCCACCCTCACATCCAGCTACCCAGGGAGGAACAAAGTGGAAAGTGAAACAGGTTCGGCTACCTGGAAACTACACTTATCTCCACATTATTTCTTTGTGCTACAGTTATTAGGAAAAAAAGAAGAAGAAGGGAAAAAAGGTCATTCCCATGCTTTCACTGGAAGAAATGACATGGAAATGACATCACTGGCATCACTATCCAAAGTATACGTTTGTGTCTGGAGTTCCAAGGCCATTTCCTAATGAAGCACATGTGCTTTACTAGGTTTATTTTGAAACTCTATTTGCTTATTTTCCAGCCATGATCAAAAGGACATTCAAAGTGTTCTCTTGAGGAGAACTAGGAGGCACTTGAACCCTGTAGACCAGGAGAGATTTTTCCTAGCCCCAGCAGCAGCCAGCAATAATATAATTCGTACAATAAACCCCACTACATGAAATGCTCTGCTGTTTCTTACCAGTAAATAGATACTGCTTTGGGAATCATGGCCCTTGGGTGGCAGGACAGGGCCATTTCCCCCAGGTCACACAAAGCTTCATTTAGCATGTATGACCAGTGACCAGTGGTGCTCTTTCCCCAACCTCCAAACCCCTGAGCCTCTTGCCAGAATCTGTTGCTTAGTAGTTGTTGCCATAACACTGGCTCTTCTAATACCTTGGATAAAAATGTTACAAAACATGCAAAGCCATTCTGAGAAGCTGAGAAAAAGAATCCTACCTTAATATTAAAATTGTCATCAAGAAGGATGTTTTCCAATTTTAGGTCCCTGTGGACAACACCATTCTGAAAGAAGGAAAAAAAATGGGGGAGAACATGAGAAAATATTGGGAAAATTAAAGGTGAGCTGGCAGGGTGGTCTTTGCATCTACATTTCAGGACTGATTCCACTGTCACAACACTCACAGCACAGTGACTAGTGACAGGCGATGCATTAGTCACTTGGTGTGTGGTTAAGGGAAGAATGACTGGAATCTGTCCTCCCACAAAGCCTCTAAAACAGCAGGGGGGTAGGGGAATAGAGGGCTGAGGGGTGTCTTTTCGGAACTTAATTCCAGCCTGAATCCTGCCCCCACTGCGTGAAAGCAATATATTCTTCCCAGGCACCAGAAAACAATATCTGTCAGTGACGTTAGTCCTTACAAAAGCCCTCATTCCTCCACTATGCAGCCATGTGGATTGGGGGGTTATAATCCTAAAGGACTGTAAATGTTAAGGATGGCAGTGAACAAGCTGGGTTTAGGTCAGAGCCTTCTTTAAAGGAATTTGGGGAAGATGAACTGCACAGGAAAGAGAGCTGCAGCTTTTCAGCACTACAGTGAGGACTTTGAAAACCTCTCTTGTTGATCAGAATTCAAGTGGAGATTAAAGTGTTTAAGAATTCAAATAAAAAATGGTGCTAGCAGCTCAGTGCCTTTAGCTTCATGCAAGTTTTTGCTCTATGCAGTTGATTCATAAGCAAGGATAAATGGTCTATAATGACAGTAAGTCAAATACATTGGATTTAATTGTTTAAACTGTCGTTCTAGTGGGTACCATGATGAATAAAGTCATTAGCAAAGCATCTTTCTAGAGCTCCTGCCACATCTGGAAAAGTTACTTTTGCCTGTCCAAAATCAGTACATGCTGAAGCTCATATACGAACACCTTTCTCCTGGCTTTTTTCTTTTATATATTTTATCTCCTAAAGTCGTTCACTTGCATATTCAAATTGCAAACCATCATTCATTTAATTTATTAATTGTAATGTTGCAGAAATTCTATAGGATGCCTTTTCTAGTTAATGTTGTTAATAGTTTTTTGAATGTCAAGAGAATTATTTCAAAGGCAAAAAAGCAATGTAGGGCTAATGTCAGGGAGTGGCTTGTATCTGACATAACACAGGAAAACATCCTTAGTCTTTAAAAACAGGCAGCAAACAACTGTAGCACTTTTAATGAAGATCTCCTGTTGTACTGATATAAATCACATGCTGTAGTATTTAATAATGAACGCTGTTGCCTCAGACAAACTTTGAAATATATAAGTCACTAGCAGCCTTCAAACAGCATCTTTAACATCAAATCCTTTGCTCACCTTGTGGCAGTAATGTACAGCAGAGACTATTTGCCGAAAGAAGTGTCTGGTCTCTCTCTCGCTTAATCGTCGCCTCTCACTGATGTAATCATACAACTCTCCTTTGCTTGCATACTCCATGATGATCACAATCTTATCTTTATTTTCAAACACTGCACAGGTAAAAGAAAAGAAAAAACATCACAGATGATTCAATATGTTTGAAAACTGACACGTTAAAAAGTGAAGAAGGCTCAGGGTGACTGAACACATCCTGTATCATCCCTGCACCCTGGAGAGATGTACTACTAACACCACTGCAAAAAGCAAGTTCCAAAGCTAAATTTCTCTACCGGAAGACTACAACATTTCAGACTGAGAAGGAAGATGAGGCTATCTTCACTTTCCCATGGCTACATGAAAGAGGGTCTTTGCCTCTTTTATGTAGCAAAGTCAACTTGATCCTAACGAGGTGGATGCTTGTGCCAGTGACACCTGAATACTAATCCCAGCTCCAACTGGGACTGCCTCTTACCAATAGTCCTTTTGAGGCCAAAGGACAGAAAGAAGCAGGAGCTCTCACATAATTTGGAAAGGGTTAAAAGGCGGCATAATGAACTTTGTCTTCAATGCTTGGTTCATACAGGGTTACTTGTATAGAAGCCAATACTTTATTGGCTTATAATGACGTTGGTTGGCTTTCACCTACTGTCAAAACCCAAAAAGTGAATTGATGCATGTGTCCTCTTCCAGCCCAATTCTGTACAGCATCATGGTGGGCATGGAGACCTGAGCTAGCAGAGGCTGCAATGCCTCTGGAGCTGAACAGCTCTTGTCAGTATGGTTCTTCACCCCATCTCATGCACCTAACTCATGCTCAAGCTTACTCATCCTCAAGCTTGCTTATCTCCTGCCTCCACCGCGTGTCCCATTGCATGCTGTAGATAAGTCTTTTGCCACTTGCGCGGAGCCGGCAGGAATGAGCAACTCCCACGTAAGCAACATAAGGAAATTCATATAACACATGTCACAACTTGACTGTTCTTTGGGCCTGGGGGTACTCTGTGCCACATGCTGTCAAGGTCCTCACTGGGAGTTGCAGATAACTAAGCACTTAATCTAGTAAAGCAGGCTGTGAGTAGTCTCGAATTGCCATAGTGCTATGGCTGCTACACAGTTTTTCCCTTCTGACACCAAAAATCCACTGCAACCCATTGGAAACTTCCTGCACCTGCCATAAATAACCACTGCTCACACTAAAACATGGTCATTTTCCTTCTCGTTTTATCTGTGGCAGCAGCCCGCTGAGGCTAGGTCACATTGGCAGCAAAGCATCTGCAAATTAATGAGGTTACAGGGTTGAGGTTATTACAAATGGATGTTACTTTTGACCAGCCCTCCTGGAATGATGCCTTCCTCTATCTCTGCAGCAAAGCTCAGTCAGTAGCCCTTGGTGGGTTTTTTTATTTTAAAAATCCAACAAAACCAACAAAAAAACCCCAACCAAAACCAGTTTCAGCTTTTGCAGTGAAATGTGGAGCTGCCTCTCTCAACATACAGATACTTGGGTGTTCTTAGGCTTTGTCTCATGTCCTTTCACACCTTGTCACTCAACTCCAGAAGCCAAAGCCTCTGCAGTTCCCTCTAACACCCCTGAACCCCAGCCAAAGAGTTCTGATAAAAGGGAAAGCGAACAGCCAGATAAAATTGGCTGCTTACTTGTCTGCTGGCCTCACTGTACCCCAATGCAGAGGCTCCTGCCAGTGATTACATCCTCTGTGCATCCTCATTAGCAATAAACTTCGGAAACTGGAAGAGCCATCTCTGGATGGATTATACTTACAGTATCCTCTCCAAGAATGACAGACTGATACTGTCTGGGAAAAACTGAACATGCCCAGTGTCATATAGGGAGGGAAGTGCTGTGATATGTTACCAGTAACACAGTAGTGCACAAATTTGTTTCTCTAAGCTTGGAAAGGCTTGTTATATACAGGGCTGTTTAGGAAGGCAAATAGAAATAGTTTCAGAAAACTTACACAGATCACTAAAAATGCTCTTATTTAGGAGATCTGTTTTTAAAAAATCCAACAAAACAAAACCAACCCAATTCCCCACCCTCCCCCCAAAGAGAGCTGATGCAATGAGTTAGGGTTATATCACACACGTATAGGGGAAGTTTTCACATGGCACCACTGATCTCAGTTAACTCTTATGGCAGCACATGCCCCAAGCACTACCAGCCGAGGACCACCCTGAGCTCAGGGGGACATTTGCCGCACCAGAGGTGGATGGATGGGGGTGAAATGGCCCTTCTTCTAGCCTGCGCTTTTCTTAAAGTTCTCCCTTCATCACTCAGTCATAAGAGCTTTCTCAAGTCATCCTTAATGTTCTGAAGTTTTAAATTCGGAATCTATTTTTTCTGGTCTTAAATTTGGCACATTACACAACTCCTGATCCAGGCATAGTTTCCTGTGTTTCTACAGAAATGAAGTGGAAAGCACTTGGTTTGGAGGAATGTGCATTTAGAGGTACTTTCCATTTCAGATTTTCTCGTATGCCCTCTAAGAAACTGAGATAATACCTTGAAATTGAATTCACTGTCCCAAATTTTGGATTTTTGTCACAAAACTGCACTAGAATCAAAGAGAACAGAAGCATCCTGCTAACTTGTATTCAGGTTTCAGTCTACCAGCACTCTCAGGACAAACTGGCACATACTTTTTCTTCACGAGGAAGCACTGGAGGACACTACCCTTGGACTCAGATGACATTACAAAGGCCTCCTCAGCATCACCATAGCTGAGCTATGTTTAGTTACAGAACTAAACAGACATTTATCTCTTCACCAGCAAGCAGAGGCGAACAGAGAATCTTCTTTTTCTCCAGGGAGGTGGAAGGTATTTTTTTACAACTGCACCATCTCAGTTCAGAGCACCTCTATTGTATCAGCTGAACCTCAAGAGGGGCCTGCAGTTCCTGTGGACAGGGAACTGAAAAGCAGACAAAAACATATTAAACAAGAGCTGCCACTGAAAGAGGAGGGAGGGAAAAGGCAGTGTGATTTATGCTTGTTAGACACACACAATCTTAAAGAGGAATTCAGTGGTCAAAACTATCAAGCATGTGACAAGGTGGTATTCTTGCCAGTCTCGGTCCATCAGCCATGTATGCCACAAATTTGCACAGTAGCAGTTAGGATTCCAGGCAGGTTTCATACGGGCACTTCTGGATTTCCCTTCTGAGCACAGTATGTAGTTTTATAAACACAGGCTCCAAGAAAGCATTGTGGCCAATGGCTGGGGGAACAGAGGAGGGCATCAATTAAAGACTGGATTGACTTACTGCAAATAAAAATGAGGTAATAAATATACTGCCCTGTTAACACCTGGGCTGTAACCTGCAAGCTGATGATGGACTGATTGCCTCCATATAGCTTCTGGGACTGCTTGGTTCACTCTTTGTTTTTGTTGCAGATGATTTATTACCTGCCATCCTACTGCATATTCATTCCGAAACTCACCCCCACCTAAAGTATGCCTGAACCCTGGCGGTACCTATTGCTGATGGAGAAGCACAGCTTCAGC